TCATCAGAAAGATCATACAGAACTGACTGACTTAACCAAGGGGGTAATCCATCGACCGGAAGTTGAAGCCGGCCGGGTGCCGCCATCTTGTAGCAGAACTTCACTTGAGTTAGCATTTCCATTGACTCCCATTCATTTTGGCGTCACTTTGATGGCAAATAACTTTAAATCTGAGGTGTTTGAAGACTCCATTTGTCCATTATTTATTTCTAAAGAAACACAACAATGTATAAAATGCTCCATTACCTCGTAGCTTATGTTATTGCCCCGTAGAAGCAGTTTTTTGTAAAAGTAGGCTAACGATTACTTCATAACCACGCGACTCTCTGTCGCACAGAGAGATTACCGTATGGACAGGAGGAGAAGCTTGCGCGCAATCGGGGAACCGTGGAGGCAAAATGACAAAATAATTAATCAGAATACTTAGCAAAAGTTTTTTCTGTTTGAGTCTGCACGTCAAGAACGGAAGCCCTAAAAAATTGCTAAAAATGGGCTTCACTTGTCTCATAGTTCCAATGAGATGGCTCTGTCCACTTCTTATATTGTATATGGAATTAACCTTTCTAATCTCTCCGCCATTTTTGTTCTACCCACTTCCGACGCTTTTCACTGTGCAGTACGGAGTTTAACTGCCAGTGTGAAGGCGGCATTAGAATCATGAATATTTTATTCTGGTCCAAGCCTATTCATTTAAACCCACAATGTAATATCAAAGTTAGCATTTTAATCAACAGTACATTTTTGTTAACCTTTTATCATATGTCTTGGAGTATCACAAAAATATTGTATTGTGAGTTCAGTATCGTAATACGTATCGAATCGTGCCATGAGGGTATCGTTACATCCCTAGTGGTAACTTTTTTATAAAAGCAATAAGGTGCTCATATTCATGATACAGCACAGCCTCTCGTACCTTATTGTTTACATAAAATCATAACTGTGCTTAAAATAATTAATACAAAAAATGCAATGTGAGTCACCTAATCAAGTGTCTGTCTTTTCACGTGATCGAAACACCTGATGCCTTGCATAACAGACGATTTTATTCCTAAAGATTATGAATGTAATTAATTTGGATGATAAAATGTTCGTCAGAACTATGCACTATTTGTTTATTGGCTGGCTATGGAGTCTGGCTATGGCATTTTTCGGCTATGAGTGAAATGCAATCGCATGTCCATCTCAGACAGGAGAACCAGCGCTGATACGGTGGAAATAGGTAATGGATAACAGACCAGTTTATTACACTTTAATTACTTTTGAATATTACTCATAAAAATTTTTTTATTTAAAAAAAATGTTATCCTCATTTTTTTCTACTCAATTTTATTTGTTAATGTACTTAATTTTCTACTTACATTTACTCAGTTCATAAGGCATATGTAATTGATTTTGTGTTCAAATTTAATGAATGTTTAAGTGTAAAAATGTTTCACCCAAAAAAATTGAGTAAAGTAAAAGTTTTCATTAGATTTATTGATGAATAGAAAATTTAAAGAACAATAACTAAAAAAGTTTTTACCGTCAATTTTGATATATTTAATGCATCTTTGTTAATCCAATAGAATTATCAATTTCTTTTTTTTTTTAAAATCATACTAACAAACAGGAGAATATTGAAAAAGGCACAATCGCACACAAACATATTCAAACTCTAACCTGAAAAATTCAAGACGAAAACCCACAGGATTCTGCTCCATCCTTTCCAACTGCACGGTTCCATCTGGTTAAAGAAAAAGAAGAAATCATGAATGATTTAGCCCTAGAAAGCACACACAGTCGATAACGAATTGCAGTCTCCAGGCACCATACCCTTTTTGGCCATCAACAGCCTTACTGGCCATTAACAATAGTGAAGGTTAAATTTAGTAAAAAATAATAGCATGAGGCAAAGCAAAAGTTCAGCTGGAAGTGAGAAACAAAGGAAAAATCTCTGAGCCCCTACAAATCTGTCAGAGAGTTTTAGACATGTCACGTATTTCCACATAGATGGAAAGAATGACCCAACTTAGGATGGGGAAAACAGAAATTTTGGTATTGTATTGGCATGGTATTTTTCATGCATGCTTAAATAGCCAAACATTACCTTTAAACACAACGTACACGGCCTCAAACTCCCTCATATAAAAAGTTGAAATAATCAGCGGTCATGACAAATATTCAGTGGCACCTGTTACCTTTGACCTCTGCCCAGCTGTAGGCTCCCAGCAATAGGTTCTCTGAAGTGCTCTGCAAGATGTAAACTATCCAGTGTCTCACAATTTTGAAGACATGACTGGAACCCAGTCTAGATGGAAACAACTGCTTTATAAGAACGAAAGAGGGAGGGATGGTGTGATTTCCGTTTTCAAACTCATTAAGAGTGGACAATAGAAGGAAGTCTGGGCATTAGAGGAACTGAAGGATTAGTCTGGCAGTGAAGACAGATAAGACAAACCAACAGAGGACATTAGTGCCAAGCCAAACAGCACACACACGCACACAATCCACAGCATATGCAGCGAGTTCACAGCCTCTGCGATGTAACTCTTATCTGACACTGATGGATTAACTATAGGAAAAACCTCACATCCAACGGCATATTTCGTTCTTTTTTGGCTACCTTTTCTTTATTGACCCCTAACTCGCTCCCAAAAACATGGAGAAAACAACATATCCTTGCTTCAGGACCCACATTGTACAGTACATTTGACATTAAATGGCAAAACAACATTTAAGCATGCTGAAAAAATTCATTAGAACAAAGTTAAACAAACATAAGCCCAACAAGCTAATTTATTGAAATAAGAAAAGACTTAATTGGAGAATGGAAAACTTTATTAATCATTAACAAAACAACAAACAGAAGTTTGATTTACCTGTGAACCTAGTCCAAGTTGTATGTTATTTTACCATTGTAACAGTTTTTAATTTGCTTTTATTTTATTTAGCATGTAATGAAACTTGCCCTTATTGGTATGTGTGATTTTGTGAGGGGTTGAATGAATTCTTGGCAGAATACAGTTGATGGATGCTCAGCTTTAGACATCAATAAAAATATATAATATATATATAGACATCAAAATAAATATATAGGGCTAAGAGAAAAAAAAATCACAGTGAGAAATTTTTCTGAGACCGATTCTAAGGGCTCATAAGGTGCCCCAGAAAGGCCTTCTAGTACTATGGCCAAATCCCAAGCTGGCATCCTAATGCGAATAGCAGGCCTCAGCCTCAGGGTGCCACGAAGGAAACGAACAATCAGGGGGTCTCAACCCAAAGATACACCCCCCACCGGAACGTGAAATGCTGCTATGGCCAGGAATCCTGACGAGAAACGTTCTTGTAGGAACTCCAGTACCGCGTTTACTGAGCAGTTTACCGGGTCTCACTGATGCTGATGACACCAAGAAGTAAATAATCTCTATTTTAAAGTGTAAAGTTTCCTAGTAGCGGGAGCTCTGGAGCTAAGAATGGTTTCAACAACCTCGGTTGATATTTTACAACGTTATCGCTACCGTGTAATAGTAACCTATGCTATTCACCAGGGGCGTTGCTAGACATAAAGCTCTACTGGGGAGCAGGTCCCCCATTTTTTGTCTGGGATAGCAACAGTAACTAAGGAAGGCGGGGCTTACCGATAGGTCAATTGTTATTAATGACGCATTGTTATCACACACAATGAAACATAGTAGTACAGAACACAACAATGTGTTTATTTTATGTGCTACAGTGCTGAAGGCTGGGGCGATTGTTTTAAAAACACCAGGCTATTCTGAAAGTTAGTGGGGTTCGGGGGAATTCTCCACCGAGAAATTTTGATTTTTCTGACCTTCATATGTGCATTTAAAGGTGTTTCAAGGCCAAAAAAAATTTTGGATAACAATTAAAAGTATGTTAGTGGACAGTTGAGTGTTAGTTGATATTACATTGTGGGTTATTAGATTATTACATAAAGTGCACAGGACACAGGACAAATGCACAGGACAATGGTGACTAAAAATATTCATGATTTTGAAAATACAGAATTATTTTAGAAAAATATAAGATATATTTAGATATATTAGATATATTTAGTTATATCTTATATTTTTCTAATTAGATATATTTAGTTAGTTTAGATTTTATTTCGGGAACACAAAGCCTCTCAGCCCATAGTTCCAGTCACAATAGCATGGACAGATGCTCTTTTTTCATTAAATGATACAATAGTCTTCATACATGTTTCTACTCACAAACCTGTGACACATCAACACAAACATCACCAACAAGTGTGAGATCACTCAAATATTTCTTACGCAGGTCCATGTACAAAGAACAGTCATACAAGAAATGCTTCTCGTCTTCAATCACAGAGATATTAGTTAGTTTGCGATACAGATTCTATCTGTCATTGATATGTAAAATTTAAAATTTGCAAAATGTAAAATTTTATATAACTTGTTGTCACTTTTCTAATTTTCACTATGCTGAGAAATTAGTCAGTTTTAAAACATTTAATTACAGAAATTAAAATGTGGAGAAGAGTAGGCCTATATAGGGTAGGAATGACATATTTTTTAGAAGAAAAAAAAATCCCATAATGATCTATCTGAAATGTTGCTGTAATACTATTTTTTTTAAGATATTTTTGATATCATGATTTTGGTCATTACAAAGTTTAATAGACATACTAGAATAATTGAATAGCTATTGAAAGATTTTTTATGTTGCATAGAATTAAACAAAAATAATTAAATTAATATTGTTACATTTGACTGTCACAAAGATGGCAGGGTCCTATGAACACCCGCATATCTTGAGACATGAAAGTTCACATGATAAATCTTATGCAACACTCTGAAATGCCTGAGAAGAACAAATCACTGAACAGCAGTGGAAGGAACCTCTGGGCTCTGCACTGACTGGGTGACGTCATTCCACAATGACGTAATTCACAAAGAATAAAGACCGTGGGGATGTTGCGATAACAATAAAAGAGATTTCTTGAGGGGGAAAAAAACAACGAGCACAAATAAATAAAGCGTATGGACGATGTCCAATAGCCCTCCAAAAATAGCAACTGGATCGATGCAAAAAGTGTTTGACCTTTGGCACGGTCGATTTTGCCACACAGAAAACGATTGCAAAGTTGATCTTTAGCTGGAGGAATGAGGCAGTGAGTTTGTGTCTGTCCTGAGTTTTTCGTGCGCGCGCTCCACTTACTCAGTCCCTACACGCATTTAAAGTCACACTGCCGCACGCGCGAGCCACCTGCGAGACACTAGGACACGGACGCTGCTCGCGTGATCTTTACTCTTTCATTCAGTATTGTGACTGTGAGGACAGACTGCTGTGGCTGTGAGTGATGGCGGCGTTGACCGGAGGAGAAATGTGCGTCAAGTATCTGATGTTCGTCTTCAATTTCATATTCTGGGTGAGTGAGTGACCGAGTGAGCGTGTTTAATGATTGATGTGTGCAGAGGTTGGCTTGCGCTCGGGACGTTGTTTTATTATAACTCGAGATTTTGCTCAAATATTCGTTGATAAATGCATGTGCACAGCGTCACTTTTAGGTTTTTAGTTAGTTTAGACTGTAATTTATGATGCAGAAACGTCTGTGTAAAGCCATGCAATAAGATTGCATCGATTTGGCTGACCTAATTTTAAGATTTTTAGCTCTGGTTTCTGGACCCTGGTCGTGTATTTAAAATACCGTGTGTGTGTGTGTGTGGCGGGACAAGCACTGAATTTTGAGTGTTTCCTTTGACTCCACTCTGTTCGTGTGTCAGCTGTTCTCTCACGACTGTAGGCTACAGGCGCATTCTTGTTGGTGATGTCCGGTTCGTGCACATCGTTCATTTGAAAAGAGTCTGTTTAATGGATTACTCAAACCAATTCGCTGAGCTGTTCGAATTTGCATTGGCTACTAATTTTAGTTCTACCGTTTATTTGAATGGGCGTATATGCAGTTGTTCTGCAATTAAAAATCCCATTCATTTTCTCCATATGTAAATTAACACACACATTTATATATAAATTTGAGCATCATTTGCTGCGTTTTTGTACTCTCATTGAGTATGTATTGGGCCTAAATCCAGTTGTTTTTTGATCAGTGATATTTGATGTTCAATCAGATGTGCTGTTTAATGCCAATTTTTCTTTCCCTCAGAAAACTACATAATCAAAAAGAATGGAGCACTTTCGTTGTTTCATCTCAAATAAAACCGAGTTCCACCGGTATGAAAATGGACGCAAATTGAGGCTCACACTCTGGAGTCACGCAAACAGATCAATGTTTTGATCTTTCTAGTGTTTACATATTAAGGGGGAGCTGAAGAATTGCTTTGTTTTTTGCCTATTCACATTAAAGATGGGGTAGGCAATTTTCGGGGCTAGCCAGCTAGCAATAGCAAGTTAGCTTTGAAAGCTTGAGATCCCACCCTCCCTTCAGAGTGTCTCCAAAGCCACGCATATTTGCAAAGCGTCATAAGAGGAGAGACTACATTTAACTACCTTATGTCTCAAAGCACATAACATTACAATAATAATGAACATAAACAACTTATGCCGGGGACAATGATTAGCTGAAACATTCTAAGACTGAACACACCTACAGACGTTTTCCATCGACTCCAGCAGATTTAAAACACCGACTGTGAATACCAACTGAACACAATTCTGAGTGTTTGAGCATGATCAGTCGTAAGTATCATGGCTTTAAAGTTGTTAAGTGTGGCTTTAAAGAGCACTGACCTCTGCCACCTGACTGCTCTAGATTCATTTCGGCATTGATAGTGTTACCATTCAAATGCGTAAATTACAGTAGTTCTGGTTATTGTTTTGATTCAGGGCAGGGGGAACTGTAAAAGGTGGCTGCTGTTTCGGTTGTGGTGCTCAGTGACTGACGTCTGTCTAACTCTGTTTAGCACTAGTATGAAACACGTTGATGATGTGTGATGTCTGCGCGAGTAGAGTGCGCATGAGGGTATGGAAATGCATTGACAGGCAGGTCTTCCTGCCTGTCAACGTATGGATTTTGTATAATGATTAGACGAACATTTTATGATCTTACGCCTTACACAGACATATGTATACATATGAATTCATTTAGACCACTTAACTTAGTGATTGATATCAGGATGGGAAGAGAATTTCTACCAGCATAACAAAAAATGCTTCTGGAACAAATCACTAAACTCACTATTTATTCACTATAAAATATCACCTTAATATAGTGAAGATAATGTTGTGACTTTTTTTAATCAGTTCATTGAAGTGAACCATTCATTAAATATGCCACCAATTCTTGAGCAAACCCAGAGCCGTGTGGTTCGTTTGTGTGTGTGTCTAGCCCAGAGGGTTTATGTGAGCACGCGCCCTAGATTGTCTTTAATCTGCGGGTCTATTTATAGTGTATGATAATCTCATGGACAAACTCACTGTAAACTGTATTTGTAGTGGGTTTTAATGATGTAAAAATGTGCACGTTATGACTTTTTAAAAAATATTTATGTGTTGGTTTTGTTTTCATTAATTTTTACTGTAAATGAAATTCAAAATCTGCATTACTTCACACCTCTGAGTTTAGGGTGGATGGTATGATCAAATTCTCTTGTCACAATATGAGAAATTTTATTTCAACATAACAGTATATTTCTCAAAATGGTTATTTTGTGTTGTTTTATCTAATTTCTGATATTAAAAATAAGAAGCAAATTACAAACAATTCGACAAATACTATAACAAAAATATGAATAAAACAAAAGTTTTTATAAGTACAATAGTTAATTTTAACATGTAGTTAGAATTGGTACAGAAATGTAATCAAATGTAAAAACTGTACGAATTAAACATTAATTTTATTCTTAAGTTATTTTCTCTTGTGTCTGATTTACATTAATAGAGTGGTGCAGGAATGACATCACTTTTTGGCCAACTGGCTGTTGGCATCCCACTGGCTCCCTCGACAAAAAAAAAAAAGAAAGGATTTTCCCATAGGTTTTTGGATTATCGCTAAAAACAAGCTCTGTGACAAACAAAAGTTAATGATACTTGCACGTTTTGTTCATCCAGATAATTATCATAGATGAACACAACTCTTTTGAATTTTATGAATAAAATCAAGTATATTAATGTGAAAAAATAACTATTTTTAAAACTGTATAAACTGTATTATATTTAAACTGTAAGATATTTATATATCATGGTAGTATCTGTTGTACTGAATTTAATTTATGATCATTTAAATTAAAATAATAATAAAGGCAATTTAGAGGTAAATAATTATTAGAATTTCACAGTTAAAAAAATAGGCTTCTTTTTTAATGCAAAATATAAATGCGTTTTGTTTTGGGGGTGAAATACAGCCCGACTAAAGTGTTAGAGAACTTTGAACTGAATTCAGTGGTAAAGTCACCTGTAAGTGGAACCTGGCTGTAACACACATTCACACACTACCTGTAAGCTCCTCCCACTGATTCATGGACTATTACGCAACGACATTTTCTAGTTTCACTTTGTCAAACAAAGGGAAGAAGTGTGGAATAGACAAACAACACGTCAGTGTGCAAAGTTTGTAGATTTGAAGCTTGTGCAAGTGAACACATACACTGCTAACAGTTTGTTGCTCTATACACGAACGTGACTTGGAAAGCAGCAAAATGGGGGTTGATGGATGTCCAAAATGTATAAAATACACCATGTTTATCTTTAACTCGGTGTTCTGGGTAGGTGAACTTTCATATTTGTGTTTTTGTGTGTGATTGTGTAAAAGTAGCTGTCAGCATGTATTTGTGAATGTAAGTGTTGTGTTTTTATGTTCAGTTTGTGTGTGGAATGGGATAAGAGGTTGAAGTGGGGTTGTTTTAAGGGTGTTTGTTTAGCTAAGCGTTGGCCTGGAGATTTGGAACAGATTTGCGCACCTTTTTAGTTTTTCGAACAAAAGATCTAGGTCAGAGAGAATAAATCAAAAGAGGAGGACATGAACTCTCTGAAACATGAAACCATTACATCTTACTTGACTAGAAAGAAAAATAAGTCACATGATATAGTGAGGAACATGACATTAGTATGTGTGAGATATTTCACAACAGATTTTGTTTAAATGAAAGATGGTTGTTGGTCAGTGTGATGAATCAAACCAACAAATGTTGCTGTAATGTATGTGACAGATAGGGTTGCCAACTGTCCCGATTATTGGCGTGACAGAGGTTAATTTATTCCTGAATGGAGGAAGTAAAATCAGGGAAGGAACATAGTAGCTACTTTACAAGCTAAGAGGTAATTAACCCTTAAAAAAGCAAGAGTGGAAAATTATCGGCAAAAAAATCATTTCATGTCACTTTTTATGTCATCTGGACTAAAAGGGTTAGCCTGACTACGTCAGACTTCCTACTTCCGCAAATTTCATTTCGCTCTGTCTACGAAGCAAAGTGAAGTAGCAGAGTCTGGTATTACCAGGCTATAAAAGGGTTAGTTCACCCCAAAATTAAAATTCTGTCAGTAATTACTCACAAATTAAAATATTTTTGATTAAAACTGAGAGCTGTCTCACTCCTCCATATGCTGCTAAGGGTTAGAAACTGGCCGGCCCAGAAAAGTTAAAGACATCCTATAGCCCTAATTTGCAGATGGGACATGTCCCCACCACTTTTTGCCAGGGTCGATATTGTCCCCACCACTTTTGAAACATCTCGCGGCACAGATGTAAATAGTACAAATAAATAAAACATCTCTAGTTAACTAGCAGAGCATTAATTTCGTTCGTTTGTTAAATAAGAGGCGATCTAGCACTGAAATGTGTTGTTTTTGAAAACCAAGTGATCAAAGTGCTCGTTGACTCTGTGATCAGTGGCGCGGATACAGTGTTCTCTTGTGGCTCGCACTGCTGCACACAATCTTCACAAGGACGCATGCTTTAATCCGTTGCAGAGCTGAAATCACAGAGTAAAATGCACACAAACATGTCCCTGCTTGATATACAACCACTGATAAACATAATCGGTTTTAATGAGAGAGAGAAAAAAAATACATAAAAGTGCGGATTAGAACCCAGAACCTCTGACATGCTTGGCAAAAGTTCTGCCACTGGACCATTAAAGTGCAGTAATTACTGGAAGAATTTTCATTTTGGGGTGACCTAACTTTTTAAGTAAAACATATCAAAAGGATATTTTATATAGTTTTGATTTTAGGTATTTTTTTATAAAATGAAGTTTAATTACTGTCAAGTTTATAATGTTACTTCAGCATATGATATGAGAGCTACAGGGACTCTGCTCATAGTTCATTTATTGCCAAAATTGTGTGTGGGGGGGGGGGGATCAAGAACGTCAGAATCAGAATGCCTAGTTCATGCATAAAAATGTTTGTCAAAACCAACACATTGAACCATGTCCGCTAACCCAGTGAATTTTTTTTTAATTCGATGGGAAGTATTTCACTCCGTTCCTTGATCATTCCAATTCAATTTCAGCAAGGAAGAACAAATGTGTATGTGCAATCATGCATGTGTTATGTACGTATGCGTAATTTGTGGCTGGGATATTCCAAAATCAAATTAAGACCAAAATCTATTATTCTATTCTATTAAATTTAAACCCATAAAAATGCAGATCCTGTTGTAGCCTAAATAATTGTAAAAAATCACTTTTTAAAACTCATTCTTTTTAAAACAGATTTTGACTCGTATAGCATCGCATGTCTAACAGATTGGCAGAACTTCTGCCAGTTTTCTTTGGATTCTCCCATGGAATTTTGCTTGCAGGTGTTATTATCTGTACACTCTCAGATCCACATAAAAAGATGGATAGTCTGTGCTTTTGAGTTTGCTCTTCCAATTTCCTGCTGATTTGTTGTCCTCTATAAAGAATCAAGCAAAGTGGGCAAGGTTTGGCAGTTCACCCCTGCTGGTATAAAAATAGCCATGTATTCTGACAGAAATAATATATATATATATATATATTTGCAATCTGGTGGAAGCTAATAAATATTTAATTTAGTTATGAGTTTTATTTTTATTATTTTTTATAATTATATAATACTATTTTTATTTATTTCATGTTCAGTAATTCAAATGATTTATTTTTGTGTTTTGTTTTTGCAAGCCACCTATAAATATCAGATTCATCACCATACCTGCTGTTTTAGCTGTTTCTTTCTAATGTTAAAAAAATCCTTTTGATTGAGCTGTTTGTGTGTATTTTAGTCCTTTTCTAGGCATTATGAAGAGACTTATTTTATTTATTTATTATTAATTATTGCATACATGTCATTTGTTTCATTGCAGCTTGCAGGTACAGGTGTCTTGGCTATTGGACTTTGGTTGAGGTTTGATGCCAAAACTAAAAGCTTGTTTGAAGGAGAGAACTCGCCATATGTCTTCTACACAGGTGAGTAGTTGTTTATAAGTGTTTTTTTTTTACACATGTTGTGTAGCAACTGGTAAAAATGAAGTGTGTGTGTATTGTAGGTGTGTACATCCTCATTGCGGCCGGTGCGCTGATGATGGTTGTGGGTTTTTTTGGATGTTGTGGTGCCATCCAGGAATCCCCTTGCATGCTGGGATTGGTAATTCCCACATCATGCACCTTTTCTTCTCTAATATCACTTGGTACTATTATGAGGTATTTGACTGTGTGTTTTTCCCGTAGTTCTTCTTCTTTCTTTTGGTCATATTTGCGGTCGAGGTGGCTGCTGGAATTTGGGGCTTTTCCAACCAGACCAAGGTGGGAGTTTGTTTCAAATTCTCTGTTCACGCATACCCAAACACACAGACGGTGCTCCTAATTTATGTTACTATCTCTGTGCCCATAGGTTACTGAGGATATAACGGATTTCTACAAGGAAACATACAAAAATTATCAAGACACCAAAGAGAACACTCTGAAAGACACACTCAGTCTCATCCAGCATGGAGTAAGATCTCATCCCTTTCTCCTTATTTCTCAAAGATATTTAGCATAATTGCTACTGTGCATCTGAAACTCTTGAATATCTTTCAATACCATGATTAGGAACTGCTAGTAAAAATCTTCAGAAAGAGCTTGCTGCGCTTATTATGTGCTAAATGCATCAGATGGTCCGTCAAACACCAATTATTTATAGCTTGTGGATTTTTAAGCTGTAACGTTAATAATTTGCAATGACATATGCTCCTCATCTCTAAGCTGAACTGCTGTGGACCGTCAGAAAACTTCCCGGAGGATTTTAAAGAGACCTGCCCCAGAAAAGAGATTCTTGAGGATCTCATTACAAAGGTAACAGTGTTTACAGATTAGGGTTGGGCGACGTCTTACAATTTGGCATCAGATGATGTCTACAGTGAAACATCGCGATGGACGATGACATCAGGAGAGGGGATATATATCGTAATATATATCGGGAGAGATGGAGGAGGGGGAGGGATATAATATTTCGTAATATTCTCATTTTCCACTAGATATCTTCCTCTATATCTAATCAGCAATTTTGATTTCAGCACGCAGCGGCAAAATTCGCTCTTGCCGCCCTGTGGATGCTCTGACGTAGATCGAATGCGTGATCTTTTTTCAAACTGTATTTAAAGGGGAAGCAAAGCAAACAAGCATGTCGATTGTTATTTTTGCAGAAAATTGATCGATGGAAATGCTATTGCTAATGCTAATGCTATCGGCGCTATTATAATTTGCATTCCCGCTGAAAAAGTGTTCTAGCACGAAATTCTTGCCTATAAATAGTGTTGCGCGCTCCCTCTTATCAAATTCAACTGATCAACCTCCTCTATTTTGCTTGGGAACTAATGTGGTTGGAACCTTAGTTTACAGGACTGCGTTCTCTGGAATTCTCTCAAACGGAGCACTTCTACATTCCGATTGGTCGCCGCCGATCGCCGCCGAACCGCGTCATTGCTTATTACCATAAAGTTGAACTGATTTCAACTCTCCTCGCCGCTCTCGCCGTCCAAGACGTGCCGCGCCTCGCCGGAGCTCGCCGCTGGCTCTCATTGAAAATGAATGACTTTTGGCCACTTTGACGCTCTCGCCGGCGGCGGTGTGAACGCACAGTAAGAGCGAATGTGCAGATTCAAACTGCGTGCTTTCGCGCTATGGCTAGAGCTGAGCCAAAGACGGATGCGCTCAGTGCTTGTCATAGGCTATATCAAAATAAAAAATAAAAAAAAACAACCCATTCAAATAAATATGTTTTTGTTTCATATCATAGAGAGACAGTGCCAAATAACTATAAAGTCAACTCTATTTTTCTTCCAGTTCACCGGCCACTTACTACTTCACTTAAAAATCATTACAGTTAAATTTTTTGTATTTATATTTTTTCTGTTTTATTTCAGTTAATGAAAATTTGTTACACTGATAACAACTGATATTTGCCAAGGCGTATCATAACCCCTTAAAATTGGGATTGAATTTACAATTGATTCAGTTTCATGTCTATGCCTTTGGTTGACCCATCTACACTTATAGTATAATAATTTTGTGAGCAAAAATACTTCCATGAAGTATCAGTCAGTGATTTATCAGCACTGATTTACAATTGACCGCACTGGACTAGATTCTTTTAAGGCAGCTGGTATGATTGTCGAGTGTAATACTCCAGCTTAGCTCAGATTTAACGCACTGGAAATGTTTCTAACCTGAGGCACCCTGTGTGCGACTCAGCTTGAATGAGTCAGTGAAACTCTGCCAGTACAAGGTCAAGTATGAGGTCATTATAGCGTATTAACCGTTCAGAAAATCGAGAAGGGTTTAAGAGGTTTAAGTAAACCTAATGAACTAAGTGTGTGAGACATAAGAAGATGCTTCCTACCAAATAAAGACACAGAGCTGAGATACAGAGGAGCACAGGAATCAGTTTAACTATCAACTGTAAATAGATGGATAGATGATAGATCTTTGAATATTCAAGTACATAGCAACATTGATAAACCATAAATAATAAATCAATTTCTTATTTTATATGTTTAGAACTGCCCTGATGCCATTGATGAAGTTTTCAACTCCAAACTTCATATTATTGGAGGAGTTGGAATCGGCATTGGAGTGATCATGGTAACTGTGTGTGTTGTGTGTGTGTGTGTGTGTGTGTGTGTTTATTTGTTTAAGGCTTGTTTAACATTTTTTGTTTTAGATTAACTAAGGTGTTTATCTTTACCAGCTTAATTTAATATTTTGTCAAATACATACATTATTTTTAGGGCTTTTAAACGATTAATCACGATTAATCGCATCCAAAATAAAAGTTTGTGTTTACTTAATATATGTGGGTGCATTATGTATAATTATTTTACATATATAAATACACACACATGCTTGTATACATTTAAGAAATATTTTCATGTATATACTGTATATAGATTTATATAATTTATATTATATAAAATATAAATATTTTACATATAAATAATATTTTTCTTAAATATACATGCATGTGTGTGTGTGTTATATATATATATAATATACATACACACACACACAAAATAATTATTTGACAGCCCTAATTATTTTGCTTATGTATATGCAGACTTGTGTTTAAAAGTTTGGGGTCCGTACAATTTTGTTTTAAAAAAATGAATACATTCATTTAGCAAGGATACATTAACTTGATCAAAAGATACATACATTTACAACGTATGTATACATTGTAAGTGCAGAAGATACAAAGATACATTTATAATGTTACAGAAGATTTAAATTTTTCAAAATCCTGTTCTTTTGAACATACTATTCATCAAAGGCAAAAAAGTAACACCGTTTCCACTAAAATATTAACTGATTTTAACATCGATAATCAGAAATGTTACTTGAGCAGCAAATCAGCATATTAGAATGTCATGTCATGTGATCCTTCTGAAGTCAAAGAATGATAAATGGAGCTTTAATATCACAGATATTAGACAACATTTCAAGTTAAAAAAGTTATTTTTTATTGTAATAATATATAACAATTACAGTTTTTACTGTATTTTCTATCTATTTTTGAAATAAATGTTGTCTTGGTGAGCAGAAAAGACTTGCTGACCCCAAACTTCTGAATAGTAGTGTGTTTTGGCATTTCTTTTTGGTAATGCCAATACTAAAATTACACACTGCAGATTTAAATAGGAAAAAAGTTTATATTTCTTAGTACCATGAAATGGCAAGCCATTTTAGCTGAAATTGTACCCATTCTCACTCGTCATAATTAAGTAGTAAGAATTCTAGTAAAATAATTGCATTAAAGAGCTCTTAATGTTATTCTTACCAGTAAAAACTGATTTAGAGAGCTGACTAGTGAGAATTCAATTCTTACTAGTAAGAATGCAATTGCAGAGCTCTTTAATACAATTCTTACTAGTAGCAATTACAATTAGAGAGCTCTACAATTCAATTCTTACTAGTAAAAATACAATTAGAGAGCTCTCTAAATCTATTATTACTAGTAACAATAGGCTCTATGTACGAACCCTGCTGACGAGTGTCCGAAAGAATCTAAGTCAGCTTCTTTACTTCCGCAAGCGCGTTCTGCAGGTCAAGTGTATAGCGGCAAAACTTTAATAAAATTAATTTTCTCAGAAACGGAGACAGTCGAATTTCGTACGATATGAGAGAATACTAACCCTTAAGGTTGTTGATGTAGCTCAAAATATATAATTTAAATAACTTCTCTTTTTTACTCTTATGTTGTTAACATCATTCACGTTAACTGCAGGACGTTTTTATTAACAGCAAATGTAATTTGACACTATCTCCACCTAACGCAAAACCGGCTTCTGACGCAGCACCGGATGTAACTGGGCGTGCTGAGACAAACCCGGAAGCGATCATGCATAGAAGCTATTACAACTAGAGAGTTTTACAAATTAATTTTTGCTAGTCACATGTCTCCATTGACTTCCATTCATTTTTAATGACAGAGCTCTCTAATTGAATTGTTACTAGTAAGAATTACAATTAGAGTTCTCTAATTCAATACTTACTAGTAGCAATTCAATTAGAGAGCTCTCTAACTAGTCACAATTAGCAAGGCTGGGTACAATTTAAGCTAAAAAGGCTTGCCATAACTATGATTGTAATTTGATCATAACGCTTTTTGAAAACCCTGTAACGTACACATTTATGTATGCGATTGATGTCCCATTGAAGGAATGTTTTCTCTATGTGCACAGATCTTCGGCATGATCTTTAGCATGATGTTGTGCTGCGCCATCCGGAAAACCCGGGAGATCGTGTGAGGGGCCTCGTTGCCTGGGAAACTGCCAGTGTATTTGTGTTGCATGATGTCTGTCACAAAACACTGTCTTGAACATGACCTCATCAGCTAAGAGCCAGTTAGATCACAGCGTCAGGCACACAATCTGTACATGTCTCTGATTGACTGGAATTCACTCTTTTTCTTAGTGCAGCTGTATCACTGGTTCACTCACGAGTAATGAGAAGAAAGGGTTGGTTTAGCATTCCAAGCCCATATAAAAAGGCCTTTATTAAGTCTGACTTTTTATATTTTTTTATCGTTCATAATAGATTTTAAAGATTAACCATTGTTTGCTTTATTGTACTTGCAGTAATGCTTGATATGAGTTGTTATGAATTTTTCTAATGTTATGTTTTTGATTTGTGAATAGGGTCGATTGATTTACCCACATCGGTGCATATGGCTCAAATAAAAGCCAAATTAATCATGAATTTTGTTGTGGGAGTGTTTTTTTTCTCTCTTGTGTATCCAGGATGAATTTTTTTTTTTGTATGGATCTGTTTTGACAGCAATCAGTGTTTCACTTAGTCTGACAAGAGTCTTTGTAAAAGGGGGATGGCCAAAACTTCATCCAGTTTCCCATAATCACAGCGTTGACTCATGTTCACTTCATTATGTGACCGTGCTAAACCCCCCCCCCCCCCCCCCCTTCCTGTTTGCCTTACTTCTACAATTAGGCCTAAATTTGGCAAAACCACCCTTAAAGTGGTTGTGTAATTATGAACTAGTACCTCTATCTTTTGCCTTTGATTGCATGTGATCTGTTTCTCAAGCACAAGAAAAAAATGTTTATCTGCTTCTATGTGACACTATGACTCACCAACAAACCCAAACAGATCAAGCCAACAAAGAGATCAGAGAGTTTGAAATCATATTAAAGCATGCAGAGGCACACCCATCAAAACATTTCCTTTTAATTTGATCAGAATCTCATGAAATTGTTTTAAATTGAGTTTTAAGTTAACCTCCTTCACTGTATGTCTCTCATTTCAGGTTCTTTTGACTGTTAAAGGGTTAGTTCGCCCAAAAATGAAAATTCTGTCAGTATTTACTCACCCTCAAGTTGTTCCAAACCTCTATGTGTTTATTTGTTCTGCTAAACACAAAGGAAGATATTTGGAAGAATGTTTTAATCAAACAGATCTCATTCCCCATTGACTACCATAGTATGCATTTTTTCCTACTATGGTAGTCAATGGGGAATGAGATCTGTTTGATTAAAACATTCTTCCAAATATCTTCCTTTGTGTTCAGCAGAACAAATAAACACAGAGGTTTTGAACAACATGAGGGTGAGTAAATACTGACAGAATTGTCTTTTTTTTCAGTAACCCTTTAAACATTTTGGACTGTTATTTTTATGATACTGCAATGCTTTCAGAAACATGTTGACGTGGAATATTTAAGGATGTAGCACCCAAATGTATTTTAGATTTCCTATGTAATGTCAAGTTGAAATATTTTACATTATTATAATAAAAATTGTATGAATTGTGTTATTAACCTTCCATGCAAAAAATTGTGTGCGTTGTGTTTCTTCTAGAGTGATCATTTTTATCAAGCTTGTATATTTAAGTTCAGTAATTTCACTTAAATGACAATTAATAGGTAATCTTCATTGCCATTTAAGTGAAATTTCTGAACTTTACAGGCTTGATAAAAATTATCATTCTAGAAGAAAATTTCAAATGGCATTTAGAGGCTTTTGTATCTGAACTCTTCATATACACATATAGGCCAACCAGCCCATTCTCACCCCAAAGGCGTCACCTAACTGACGCCTTGGGAAGCATTTTGACCATGCTTCAATATCTGTAAACTAGCCCTTGCACATTATTATAATATTAAAGGTTACCAACAGAGCCCAAACTATTAGCTTCATTTCAATTTCTATTTATTTTTAGATGTAATAATCAACACTCAAATAACAAATTGTATGCAAACAAGCTGCACATAAGGCAGTTTTTGCATTAGCTTCTAAATCTAATTTTAAAATGTTTTTACTCAATTCGTTGTTGAAATATAATCATTTACACACAGTTTTCGTGACATTTATTTAAATTTACGCTAAATAATCAAGACATCACTAACAGGTTAAGGAAAATATGTTAAATATATTATAGGCTAATACAGTGTGCATATATTTAAGACTTCATTTCTCTTGCTGAGTAACAAGCTGTGGACACTGAATGACTTTCCTGAGGTAAATGAGGCGTACAAGCTGTTCTATTGATGCCTTTCTTTAGTAGTCATCACCAAAGATTTGTTTTTCATACTTACATGCCATTTGTTATAACATGGACTTTGTTGCCCCCCGGTGGTCTGTATGATAATTAATTTTGAACCAGAGACAAATAAACAAGTAAACAAACTTTTTAACAACAGCCAACTTTATAATAGCTACACGTGTATTGTGTGCTGAAGAGATCTTAAACCTAATGTATTTCAGATTCTCATCAATTAGAAATAGAACTTGATAAGTCTCAGCAGTTCCGACTCTTTGACGTTTAAAGTGAAGAAGCTCCATTACACTTTTAAAAGGTTTGATCACTTTAATGAATCTATAGGCTATACTTAAACAGAGAGAGAGAGGAAGTGTGTTACAGTCTGTAAAGATCTCATCACCCGCTTCAGTTGACTCCACTGCTGTTTGCATGTGAATTGGGACAGTCTATGTGCTGCAGGACAAATGATCAGATGGTACAGGTGGGCTTTCATTTTCATTATTTTCTTCAAAAATCAAGAAAATTCACTTGCTCAGAAGCTTGTAAATTTAACCTTATCTCAATGATTTTTAAATGTATTTTTTATTTATGTAGGCTCTTTAGTATACATAATAAAAAGATGTATTGTTTAATATATTTAGATAATTAAATCTGATTAGGAGTATTACATTTTATTTAATAATAATGTATTTTCCTCATTTAATAATAAAACTATTTGGCCGACTTTTTTATTAACAATTAACCAATTAGTAAAGAATAAATTACAGAGAAATGCATAAATTAATATATGTAAACATTACATATTAACATTGAAAGTTCTGATTTTATTTATTTGTTTGTTAATTTATTTATTTTTATTGACAAAAAGTTTTTTTCATAAATCAATGTATTTGATATATATTTTTTACATCTAGTTGTATTAATTTTAATAATGTAAATATCAAAAATAAAATATTAGGTTACAATTTCTATTATAGAGATTTCTGGACTTTACAATGCTTTTCTCTTTTAGTATGTTTATTGTTGTGCATTAAAATAGCCACGGACGTCATGCATGACTTTGACCACAGAATCTCCGTGTGCAAACACCAACTAGAGGATTAAATGCTCCACTCACATATGAAGCAGAAACTATCTATGCAGTTTCTCGTGTGCGGGACGTTCTGATCAGCTCATTATGAGATAAGACCTGGGATTCGTGGCGTCTCTGGAGACCCCAGGCGACCTGCTTTTCTGCACTGATCGTGGGACTGACCGCTGCCTGACCATTGACTGCTGCTTTTCCAACAAGAGTCTCTCAGGTGGGACCCTGATCAGTGGAGATGGACGATTTCACAACGTCTCTAATGATTTCTCTGCTTTTCAGATGCTCCGATCAGTGGCTATATTAAGGCTTTGAATAAGGTCAGCAATGAATAGCTTTATTCTCAGCATCATATCCCAGTGACAAGAGGTAATTGCTTGTTTTTATTGCATTTTCTTTTCTTTGACTGTTTTAACTTGCATAGGATTTAGATTAAATCAATGCAAAAGTCATTTTTGTGGAAATCCTCTTCTGGCTGACCTGATTTCACTGCTGTGCTCCCTTTTGCAGAGCTGCATGTGCCTTTGATGAAGGGGGACAGCAGAGAACAGTGGGCTTACATTTCTAAATGTAGTGTGCACTGCTAAAAGTTCAAATATGTCTGAAAACCCTGAAGACCCCCTGGTATTGTTGGAAATCCTGGAGGTGTTAGGCGCATGCCATGAGAGCGTGTTGTATCCAGACATTTGCGTCTATCTGAGTGGAAGCTTCAGCCTGCAGCCACTTCTAGAATTACGGAGTCTCTTATACTCCACCGCCTGTAGAGACCCCTGCTTCCCCGCCACCCTCTTCCGAGAGCGACTACACCCACCCTGCAGTAACCGGCTCTCAGCGGCCGCTGATGTAGTCTCACTGTTTAACCTCCTCATGCACACCCGCATGGCTCCTTCATACACTCAGAACCGTCAGTCGCTGACGCCCTGTCAGATCTGTGGGAAGGGATTTGTGCGTTACCACTGGCCGGCCGCCTTACCCGTCACAGTAGGAGGGACCACCTCTGAGGAATGTAAATATGAGAACCTCCCTTGTGAAGCATTCAGTCATAACACAGAGGTTTCACACACATTGATTGCTCAGGCTCACTCACGCATGCACAACCAAGGCAGGATGCAGAACGAGCATTCTGGGGACGTTTGTAGCGATACGGTCAATCAGCTGGCAGTCAAGACATCGGCGACCAATCAGGGAGCCCGCGTCGCTCGTTCCTGCTCTCAGAGGAGGAGTGCTTTTAAAGAAAGGATCCAAAACGAAACACTTATGTCCACGGAAGGTGACGGCCAATCAGATCAAAGCCCAGACGGACCAAGATCGGATGGTGAGGACCTGCTTTACATTACCCAGAAGAACCCCTATCCAGACCCCACAACATACGCAAACGACCACCAAATGTGCAACTCGTCATCACACACGCAATGTCTGCATGACCATTTGTACGCTCACCCAAATGCACCTGAACCAGATGCACATGCTGCCGACGCGCAATCGTATGCTGACGCCACAGACCCGTATGCCCCTCAGAGTCAGTGGCATGGGGCGAAGCAGGAGAGTTTGGATGAGCTCCAGGCGTCCACATACTTCGGCCCTACAGCCTCCAACGAAAAGCACCAAACTCCGGTCCTTCAAGTCAAGAGCCACAGCTTGGACATCGACAGCAGGACGGCGGATGAAAGACCTGAGCCTGAAACGACTGGGCTGCAGAAACCCAGATCAGAGCGGTCCGTTTTAGAGAAGTCTGGTTTACGAAAACCAGTTAAAATTAGCTTTGACGGGTCAAGCTTTGACCTTCCAGGCTTTGATCCTCACATCGTCAACTCGGTGCGGGATACCTTCAAGCGGCTGAGCGGCATGAGTTTGGATGCGTGGTACGATTGGTCACCAAGCTTTGATGGCGGGGTTAGCGTTGGCACCCAGACCGAAGCTGCAGATAGGCGTGCTTTACGAAGCCTCATGCTTGCCGATAAACTCTCCATTGACAACCCTGACATCGGCGAGGACGACATTAGTGCCATCTTCCGTTTCCTAGATGACATTAGCATGTGTGGCTCCATGGCAGTGTTGCCAGGGGAAGGAGGCGGGGCCCAGGAAGGGGGCGGGGCCGGGCTGCCAGAGAGGCGTGAACGTT